AGTAGAGACAACTGTCTTCAATGGCCAGGGAAGAGTTCACAGTTCGATGTGATCCCGCCTGGAGGGAACGTGTAGGCCCTACCCACCCAGCGAGTGTTGTAAGTTTAGGTGGCGAGCTCAGGTGTGAGTGCGATGTTTGGGGAAAACAAACGTGTCGGTCAGTTCACACCTCAGTGTGATCCCGTCTGGGGCAAACATTGCATGGCTTTATAGAGTTTTACAACGTGTATGTGATCACGAGACGGACAGTTTAATGATCTCAACTTTTCACTCTTGGTTGATCGGCTGTGCCCGCCTGGGTTTTTGTTCCGCAAATTATGATCTGAAATTCGGGATCTTAGCCAAATGTAGACCTTCAGAGTGAATCAGAGTGGGATCTTAGGGGTGACTTTTGTATAGTAAAAATTCTGTTTTCTTAAAACAGCGGGATTTTAAGAAAACCGGTATCATAAGCGGTGGGATCTTAGGCGGAGACTACTGTATATGAGTTATTGGCATTATATTATCTGTCTTGCTTTTGATGGAAAAAAAATACCCATTCATCCATCACTCAAAGCTTGAGTGTCCTTGGAAACTACAAATTTACATATATGTGACACGTCCCAGCGGTTTGGTCCACTAGGTACATCGAGCTGAACAGTAGACTCTTGAATGACCTTTCTGACAAAAAACAATTTAAAAATCTGTATAATTTGCTGCTAAAAGTGTTTTTAAAGCTATTTCGGAGAATGTCTTTGTTCTGTGATGGAGTATTATTAGAAATCTAGGCGGCGATTTTGTAGTTTCGTTCGTTAAGTTAACTCATTCGCTACGCCGAGCCGTGGGGGGCGGCGCGGCTGAAGTGCCGTCAGTACGCTATCTGGAATTTAGATTCAGTTTTGAAACGTGATTTCGTAGTTTATTCGACTTTGTTTTATCGCGATGCCAAAATTATAGCCCAGACATCAGTTTTTGTAATTTTACACAACAAAATATATCATTATTTTGCCCTCTAAAGAAGTGTAGGACTCTTTTTTATAATATTGATACGATTGGACTCATATTGCCAATGCACTGTTTGAGAAATCAATACTTTTGAGTGCTAGATCTAGGTCTAGATCTAATCTAAATAGTCAAAATATTTTTTTCTCCCCAAAATCACTACTTTTTGATGAAATTACACAAAAGTGCCACTCAAGACATGTATAGGTTTATTCCAAATGCAATTCTGAATAATTCCATATAAGATACGAGCGGGGTTTTTTCTGTTTGTGATCGTTTTTCAAGATTATAAAATTTACTTTTTTTTTTTCAATATCAGATGTTATGTTCAAAATGTACGAATATTATGGAATGTAGGTGAATAACTGCAAACTTTTCAACATTTTCCAGTTCTACATTCATTTATGGTTATTTTGATGTATCATTTGACTAGGTGCAAACATATTTTTTGAGTTTCACCAAAGATTATAAATTTCGAAGTGACTATTTCTCCGAACGTTCGGAGAAATAGTGCCGATCTTTATTTCTCCGAACGGTTTCCGGCTTCCGCTCTG